GCTTGTGTATGATCTTGCTGCCAAAAATGACTCCCTTATTTTTGAAAACCTGGAAATGGGCACAGTCCGTCAATCTTCAGACACTTGTCACTTGGATCATGGTCTTAGTGACTCATAGTTCCAGTCTTAGTGGACAATTCTTCATTTTATGCAAATTGCCAATATGACATAGTTTATCTACCATGTTATTGATGGAGTTGGTGGTGAGGTTTTTTTTTTTTTTGGTGGTGAGTTTTTTAACTTTTCTTTTGCAGAGATCATAGAGATTGCTCAGAAAATGCTTTTAACAATGAGTAGACTACATGGCCAGTGTTCTGTAGGGATCCGTCTTGGGTGAGTGATAGCCAGAATAGTCCTTGGAAGAGAAGATGGTAAGATACCACCTCCTGTCCTGTGGCCTTGTTATTACAGGGGACCAGTCCCTGGAGAAGGACGATGTGCTTGGCATAGTAGAAGGTCAGGGAGAAGGATCATTGTCTTCAGTGCTATGGATTCACAGGGTGGCTACAACAGTGCACATGGCAATGGGGATGGGCCAGCCCAGGCCAGGCAGGCTTCATCCTGTTGTACATGAACTTGTTATAAGTTGACACTAAGTGAAGCTCATCTAAAGCTTTATTTAATGGGAGCCCTCATGGTGCACTGGTTAAGTACTGAGTGGTTGGAAGTTCGAACACCCCAAATGTCTGGTCAGAAGCTGCGCTGCCGTCCCAAAGACATGCAGTTCAAACCCACCAGTAGCTCCACAGAAGAAGGATGGGCAGTCTCCTCCTGTGCTGTTAACTGTCTCTGAAAACACACTGGCGGGTCAGCTGGGGGTCAGTTCCAGTTTGGTGGCACGCTGAACAACAAGTGTCTCCATGAGAAAACAGAACTGGCTGTTGCCTTCCAGAAAGGTCATGACCGCAGAAAATGCCACTCTTCGTGCCACTGCTGCCCTGTCACAGGCACGGCTGGGAGTCTTCATTGACTCCGTGGCATCCAGCAACCATACCGGCACCAACATTATCTCGTAAAGCATTGAGAAAACTAGCATAATCAGCTTCTCCTGAAGGAACAGTGGACGTGGCCTGAGAATTTTCCCAGTGCAGTTTCCTTACCACCAGCCTGTCACGACTATCTATTTCATGTTACTCAGTCCTCAGACATGGAAGATGACAGTTTGGATAACCTAGGTTTTCTGTTCATTCCTGGGGACCATAGTGGCAGACAGTACAAGAAGGGACTTGACTTCGTGGAATACCAGTAAGAATTTTCTAGCACAAGGTGGCATAACAAGATCATAAAGAGTCAGTGGCAGACTGATAGACTGTTCAGTAAAATGAGGGAGTAATGGAATTCGGGGGGGGGAACCCTCACATTTTCTATTGTTTAACCTTTTTGAATCTAGGAATGTGTAAAAGTTGCTGCAAAAGGTAGAGTAAGTGCTTGCCCTGACAAATGAGACCTGGGGTGGGTTTGTTTGTGTTTTTTGTTTTGTTTTGTGTTGTTTCAAACATGCTTTCCAGTATTGTTTTTTTTTTTTTTAATGTTTATGTTACACTGGGTTTACATACAAAGTTCACATACAGTGTTTTTAACACTGGATCTTTCCCATTTCCTTTACTCACCCCTCCCTCTACCTGCCAGATTGTGTAACCTTATGATTACTCCTCACCTCCCATCCTCACCCCTCTGATCCCTCTCTCCTCAGCCCTCTGGGCCCTCCCTTCCCTCTCTTGGAGCCTCATATACGTTCTACAATAATGGTGCAAAAGAAGACTTTTTAAATTTTTTAAAATGATGGAAGAAAATCTTTACAAAACATTTGTGCTCACGGACCCGTTTGCCCTGACGGTTCATGGTGTTGGCGAGAAGCAGTGAGTGGACGGTGTTCATCTAGGACATTGAGAGGCTCCTGCAGGAAAAGTCGTGATTCTCCAAGCATTGCTCTGGGCTCCAGTTGAAAGATCCCTGGTTCAGTGGCTAAACACCTGCCTGTAAATGGAAAGGTTGGTGGTTTGAACCCACCAGCAGCTCCAAGGGAGAAAGCCAGGAGATCTGCTCCCATCTAGTTTAAGGCCTTGGAAACCCGGTGCGGCAGTCTGCTCCGGCACAGGGGGCGTTGGGAGTCGATGCTGACTTATTTGCATTGGGTTTAGTTTTAGTCTGTCTTTTCACTTTTACAGAAGAATTCTTAAAAGGGTCGCACCCCCCCCCCCCTTTCCCTTTTGTAGAATCTGTGTGAGCGTTTTGCCTCTGGTCCGGTTACCTTGGTTGCAGGTCTGTTCAGCCTACAGTCAGATCACTGAGGGGCCTGTGGACACCTCCCAGCCTTCGCTCGTGTAGGCTTTACCATGTGGATCTGAGCTTGTGTTCACACTGCACTTCAGAGTCGGCTGTGAGTTGCTGTGGGGTCACAGGGCAGCGTAGCAGAACAAGGCGCTGCCCCATCTTGTCCTGTTTTCATGGCCCAGGGGTGTTTGAGCCCATTGTGGCCTCTGCTGTCTGTTTCTTGGCTTGCTTGCTGGTACCTTTGAAGCATTGAAACCATGAAGGCTGCACTTGTGCATTTCCTATGACTCACTGGGGGCCGATGTGGACACAGTAGCGCCGTCTCTACCTGCCAGAGGACAGACAGTTGAGTTGTACAGGTTGACCGGCAGACTGTCTGCACTCGCTTCGAGCACCAGGTGGAGGACGGCCTGGCAGCAGACACCGTGATGCGGTGACCATGTCTTAGTGATCTGCTGTCGCGAGGTGCCATTGCTGGCGACACCGTGTGTGACAGGAGCAAGCCCTGCCTGATCCCATGCTAGCCTCGCTGTCCATGCCATGCTGTCCTCACTCCTGTCCTTACATCGCTGTGCCAGTCCTGGCCGTTGACGGTCTTCTTTTCGCTGGCTCTGCTTTTCCAAGCGTGAGAGTTTTCTCCAGGAATTGCCCCCTCCTGAAAACATGCCCAGAGCATGAGCGGTGAACTCGCACGTCCTGTCTCTAAGGAACATTCAGACCACACTTTGTCCAGGACATACATGTTTGTTCTTTAGGGAATTCACGGCATGTTCAGTATCTATCCGTCAAGAGTTTTCACATCCTGTAGGTGGCATTGGAGACGATGGCCCATCTTTCTGTCAAGGCACAGCAGGTGGATTCCAACTGCCCACCTTTGTGTTGGGGGCACAACTCCCCACCCATGAGGTCACCAGAGTTCCCTGAGGTTTTTGGTTTCTAACACCACCAGTTAGCTCTTGTTGTTAGGTGCCATCAAGTCGAGTATGACTCATAGCAACCCAACAAACAACAGCTCTGAGCCCTGTCCTCTCCTGAGCCAACCTCACGATCCCTGACATACTCGAGCCCTTTGCACAGTCACCCTGTCAGTCCACGTAGTTGAGAGTCGTCTCTTCTTCGTTGACCCTCCACCTTTCTGTGATTAATATCTCTCGCTGAGGACTAGCCCCTCCTAGCAACACGCCTGCAGTATGAGAGGTGAAGCTTTATCATCTTTGCCTCCAAGGAGCACGCTGGCTGCACCCTCTCTACGACATACTTGTTTGTTCTTTTGGCCGCCCACGGGATGTTCAGTGCTCTTCACCACCGCAGCTCAAAGGCATCGATTCTTCTGACATCCTTATCCAGAGTCCAGCTCTCAGATGCATAAGTGATCAGAAGGATCACGGCCTGAGGGAGACGCACCTTAGTCCTCAAAGCAAGTCCTCTCTCGGTTTTGGTTACCTTAACTCATAGTGATTCCAACTTATAGCAAGCGATCAGAGCCTTGCTGAATCCTTTACCCCCTGCCATGCTTAAATCCACTGTTGTTGTCATGGTGTCAATCCTTATTAAGGATATTCCTTTCCTTCGCCAAACCCTCATGATTTCCCCCAACATGATGTCCCCTTTCAAGGACAGGCCCCTCTTGACAGCATGCCCAGAATACGTGAGGTCAAGTTTCACCACACTCCAAGGAACACCTTGGCTCAACTTCTTCCACGAACCCAGCTACCTCGTGTGGCTGCACAGAAATATACCAGCCGAAGATCTTGACAGACAGATGTTGATTCTCCTGCATTGTAGGAGCCTGGAGGCGGGTCCAGGCTTCCTGCTCTTGGGAGAAGCACCCTGTCTTAGCTCCAGGAGGAAGGTCTTTGTTTCTGCTTAGCTCCATTCTCTTGGTTCCTTGGTTGTGGCATGTGACATGGCATCTGTTCCCTCCCACCCCAACTACGTTTTTAGCCTCTTGATTAATATATCCTTTCAATAATTAAAAGAGAGTTCTACAGGGATGCTGCCTCATGGACGTAACAGAGAAAGTCCTCGTTGCAAGCAGAATAGTAGCAACAGGTATTGCTGTCTATGGGTGTTGATGAACGAAACCTCCCATTGGGACTCCCAGGCACTCGTCCTCAGGGAAGCCGACCACCAGAGTGTCCTCCCACACTCCCACAGAGGACTGCTTTGCAACTGCTGTGCAACCAGGGCTTCTTAACTACAGATACAGGACTAGGGTTTACAGCACAGATTTTTAGGGAGCACATGTAGTCCCTAGAAGATCATAACCATCCCTACTGTGATTGCCATTGCAGGGGTGGTGGAAAGGGAGGGGTCCCTGAATGAGCCACGTATTGGTGGCCTAGTCTGTAGGGAGAACACTGTTAACATTAAGCCCTTGTCTCTCCAGTGGTTCAAATCTCCCAGAGGCTCCTTGAGAGAAACATGCAACATCTCCCGTGATTTACAGCCTCAAAAGTCAGCTGTGAGTCTGTCTGACTCGAAGACTATGAGTTTAAGTTCAGCCCTGCAGCAAAGACTGTTTCCTAAGAACCTTTCTTTCCCCCTGGCGTGAACGCTGCATGGGTTAAAAGCTTTCTGACACCGTTTTTTGTGTTTTGACAAACACTTGCCTTTATTCTTTTCAAACAGGCTCTGCCCCATGCCATGGCCAGCCTGCTGGACGTGGCCTGAGCTGCGTGGATTGCGCCCCTGGAGACCACCTACCCAGCCATAGGCCTTTCAGGATGAATGGAAGGGCAGGTGGGATGAACTTGCAGCGCATGGCAGGGGGCCCCCCAGGGTCCGGCATGGCCAGTGGCCCCCACATCCTGCCTCTCCACACCCATTCGAGGACCCCTGACCCCTCAGCCTGCAGCAGCTCCCCCAGCCCAGCTCTGGAAAGCCTTGCTAACAGCCTTCATCTCAAGATGTCCTCAGGAGGACGGTTGGCTCCACAGGGCAGCATGGCTGAGAGCCCCATTCACCTGCCTGCCCTGAGCCCTCAGAGGCAAGTGCTGACCAACGGCAAACCCCGCTTCCAGACCACCCCGGCTGGGGGCCTGGCGGGGCCACAGTCCTTAAAGGCAAAGCAGCAGGAGTTCGGGAGGCCTTTTCCTCCACAGCATGGAAGAGGTAGGACATCTCTCTGGACTCCTTGAAAAGTGGGAATTATTATTGTGGTTTAATCTTTCTAGTCATTTCTTCTGCCAGCAAATCCTGTGGACAACGCATGGCTCTGCATCAAAGTGGACGGTCCTAGTGCCATTGCAACCTTCTCTGTAAGGGTGTGGGTGCAGGAGTGTGTCTGTGTGGGGGTGTGAGTGTGAGGGTGGCAGGCCACAGTGGTAAAAGCCACTTGAAAACAGTGACACCTCATGGGAGGGTGATGCAGGAAGCAGGTAAGGTCAGAAATGGGAGGTAGGTTCAGTGGCCCTTTGGAAGGGCAAGGTCAAGTTTAACAGACACCTGCCCCATGGTTCACCAGAGGCTGCATTCTTGGTCATAATGCTAGTTGGATGCTGAAAGAGGTGGAGCTGCGAGATTTTTTTTTAAGCAATAGTTTTAATAGCTATTAGGGAGAGATTAGTACACATATATGAGAAAAACTTTCTGAAAACAGAATCTTTTACGGTGGTGTCAGTAGCAGGAGAATAAGGCAGAAGGTAGTCATGAAATGATGGACTTTGTGCTTCTGCAGAACCGGGAAACTCTGGTGAAGGCAAAACACAGAGCAATTGTATTTTTCACTCAATAGTGTTTGGATTACCGTGAATTTTTAAATTCAAGAATAATTGTTGGAGAATAGTAAATCATGAATGACACACTTTCTCCAGAGACTGATGTTGACTTAATGAGGTTACATTGAAAATGATATGTGTATTTAGGCCCGTGGAGAGAGGCCGTGTGAAATACAGCTTTGTTTGGAGAAATAGCAAAGCTATTAAAGTATCTTTTTTTTTTAGCATTTAGTCTTAAATGTTGATATTCATCACCAAATAGAATTACTAGCATCCTTGTGAATAGCCGTTCACCCAGATAATTATGGTGAATCATGATTTGTAACAGGCAAGTAGCCAAAAAGTAATTTGTTTGAATGTCTCCGTGTTTCTCTGAATGGAGAAGTTGGTGTAATTGGACAGATGAAGAAAACAAAACAAAGCACCCAAACGCATGTGCAGCCGCTTGGTTTTCGTCTCCTATTCTTTTCCTCTTCTCATCCCTCCCTTTCCCCCTCCTTCATCCTTTTTCATTTTTCTTGTGTAGCTTGGGGTTGAGCTGTTTTCTTTCTCACTGACACTGGTTTTCAGCATGCACATAGGCGAACATTTCTCTGGAGGCCTTGTCTAAAACGACTCTGCCGTTGTAGGGCTGCTATGTTGTCAGTGTGACCGGCTGATTTCCTTAATATGAGGCCACAGGCTGGGATTTTTGGGGATGAAGTCTCGGTCCAGTCTTTGGAGGTCATGCTTGGCAGTTCCCAACAGAATGCTTGTCTCTACACTCACACCGACTCACAAGAACGTGGTACTAATACTAGCACTAGCACTAACACTAACACTGACACTGACACTTGTTGTCAGGTGCTGTCAAGTCATAGACAACTCATAGTGACCCTATGAACGAAAGGCCTGAGCACTGTTCATAGAGTTTCCGGAGGCAAGCCATTTCGGAAGTGGATGCCACTCCTGCTTCCAAGCTTGTTTTAATTGGGAAGCTCCACCAAACACTGTCCACCATGGGTGACCATTATCAGATTTGGCACAGCAGTGTCACAGTGTTCAGCCTCACAGCAACCACAAGTTACCACTGTACAGCAATGCACAGACCAGTGCTATACCACCTAGAAGAATGTTTGACAAAAACAATTTCAGTCAGGCCTGAGGGCCGCAGATTAATACTAGCATCAGTTATATCATAACGGCACATGCCAGGCGCCTCACAATGCTTTCCAACCGTCGAGTCTTACTGAGTCCTTAGCGCTTTTACTTGTGTTGATTTGACTGGGGAAGGAACCAGGGTTTGGAAAAGACAAATAACTTCCCAGGGTCACCAGTCAGGAAGGTGCTGGGAGTTAGGACTCTGGTGGTCATCCGTACTGAAGTGTAGCCAGGGTGTTCCTTACAGACAGAGGTGGTCACACCTTGTCTCACATGCTCTGGACATGTTCTCAGGAGGGGCCAGTCCTTGTCAAAAGATGGCATGCTGGGAAAGGTGAAGGGTCAGAGAAAGACAGGCAGACCCCCAAGGAGCTGGGTTGACACAGTGCCTGTAATAAATGGGTGCCAGCCTGGCAGGGACCGTGAGGACGGCGCCGAATGGGACGAGGTTCTCGTGTTGTGCATAAGGCCGCTCTGGGTTGTGACTGATTGGATGGAGCCTACCCACAACTGCTCTTGGCTGGAGATTAGAAGTGGTTTTAATGATATTAGAAGGGTAGAAGGACAGTGTAAGAGAGCAAGACCCCAGATTAGATGGATTGACACAGTGACTGGGGTAATGGGATGCGGTGTGTCCGAGATAGTGAGATTGCTTCAGGAGAGGGCAGGCTTCAGAGCTGCTGTACACGGGGCCGCTGTGAGTTAGAGGTGACTCCATGGCACGGCAGCCACCGTCACCTTGGAGATATCTGGAGTCCAGCCCCAGACTGTTGTAGTGAAGTGATTCCTGCAGTGAGGGGAGTCCGATTTTTTTTCTTTCACAGTGCATAGAAAAGGTGTGTTGTTACTATTCCATAGTCTGGAGTGTGTCATAGCATCATCAAAGGACTTGGAAACCGGAGAAGAATGACCCCATTGAGACGGGGAGACATTAGCATGTGCTGTGCCTCTTGTCTTGCTTGATCTTGGGTTGCCCCAAACCTGTTGGTTCCACATACAGCGTCTGTGAAGCACAATAAAGTGAAACATCATGAAATGAGACATACCTGTAAGCGCGGTTCAGAGGGAAATCGTGTGTGAGACACCAGTAAACCAGAAGGAAGCCCGTTGCTGTTGGGTTATTTCTGATTCACAGAAACCCCGGTGTACAGAATAGAACTCTCCCCGGTAGGCTTCCCAAGGCTGCACCCTGTGAGGAAGCAGTCAGCCTCATCTTATGCCGTTGAAGCCTTAGAACTGTAATGCTTTCAGTCCATAGGGAGTTGTGAACTCTGGGGTCAAAGCATCTTGGGACTTATGTGAAAAATAGCGCTGTTTCAGTCTCTGCTTCCCCCCAGCTCTGACTGAACTTGCTGGCTTACAGGCCTGTTCTTTACCTGCAGGGTTGGGGCGCGACTGGCGTGAGGACGGTCTCAGGATTTTCACCTCACTGCGTGGATACTATGAGTGGTCTGGGTGGTACCAGAAGTGTCTGAAGGTGTCCTCTTTAAACCCTGGTGACACTTCCTATAACAAGCTAATACCTGTCTGAGAATATGGAATGGAACTGTTTGAACTTAACTCCCTCAACAAATTGTTATTGGGCATATGTTAAAGTCCCCCCATTCTGAGCTGCAGTAGATACTGAAACATAGTCCTTGTCCTCAAGGAATCAGAGGGTTCACACAAGGAAAAGAGCAGTTAAAACAACGTGGTAAGGGGGTGGTAATAGAGATTCCTGTAGGTGACTGGGTAGTAATGGAAGGAGTTGCTAGGTTGGTGGATTGGTAGGTGGGTCTGGGAAGAGACCAGATTGTCTATGCTGACACCTGAGGTTGTTAAAGTGTATATCGTGTGTGTGCGTGTGTCTGTGTGATATTTGCGGGCATCTCTTTGTATGTGAGGTGAGATGTCTGGAAGTTTCCTTGGGTAGAGGTAAGGTTAGCATAAGATCCGAGAAACAGTGCTTTAAACTGATTCGCACCACTTCCGTCATGGTTGATGCAGTGAAGTTGAAAGACGCCAGCATTTGCAGTGTGGTGGACTAGGCCAGTAACCAGAACGAGGAAATTAGAAGTTGAAGCCCTGGAATTGTAGACTTTGAAGAGACTTAGTGACCCGTCTCACGAGCCTGATGGAAGAGACAGGATTTTTGCCAGAAGTGTGGAGAGTGACACACATTCAAAGATACATGTTTGGCCACATCTTTGAGCTGGGCACCGTTGTTTCAGACTCTGGCAGTCAGGAGACTGGGCTACATGAATATGCAGCATCATGAATACTGCCCTTGCTTTTTTAAGAGGGAGTTTAACAGGGTGTTGACCTATTGATTCTTTCTGTTCCGGTTATCATTCTGGTTCATCTAGATTTGACAAATTTGGTTCTGTTTTGATTGTGCTTCACTGGCCATGAATGAACTGGAAAGAACTAGTTTGAAGCCCTGGAAAGCATACACAAGGAGAGTGACCAAGGTGCACGCTGTGGACTTCCACCTGGTTCCGCGTGGATGGTTCTACACAGAGCCGTGGGGGCTGGGTTAAGACATGGGGCTGTAGAGGAGGAAAGCCATGAATCGAGTTCACCGGGAGCCTGGTGCACTGTTGAAGGGGTTTGACCTCAGAGAAGATGTCACAGCTTTGTGGTGACAAAGCCTGGGATTTGCCACTGCTTTCACACACACATGAGCACCATGGTGACCCAGGGGGAGGGGTACAAAAGGACTTGCTGCTCTATGAGGTGTCACTTCTTTCTTTTACTAGTTTTTCTTTTTTCCCCCTTTACTAGTTTTCATTACTTTTATTTTTTCTTACTTTTCATTATTTTATTATAAATAAAAATCTACCACTGAGTCTTCTGTGACATGGGACAACCTTCTCCACAACAGAATGAAACGCTGTCCAGTTCCTCTCAGTCCTCATGGTCATTGGCTTGTGTAAGTCCACTGTGATGGCTGTTGTGCTGACCCTGTTGCTGACTGTCCTGTCACTGACGGAGTCCCACCCTCCCTGGCCATCTGCATCACCAGACACACTGTCTTCTTCCTGCAGCTGATCTCTCCAGTGATGTGATCAAATCCTGTGAGTCACATAGTTGCCCTGTTGGGATCCCGACGTTTTCACCAGCTCACTTTTGGAAGGAGGTCACCAGCCTCTTGTTACCTGTTTGTCCTGGTCTGGAAGCGCTGCTCCGAGCTGCCCATCATGGACGGCCCTGCCAGTGATTGCAGTACCGGTGACATACGTCCAGAATCACAGCCGTACACAGCCGTCACAGCTG